AATCGGGAAGGTGCACAGACGAGACGCTTCGAGGACAGGAGAGCTCATTCCACACCAGGCAGGACAATGCACGCGAGACGCTAGAAAGGAGACGGCGGAGGCGACACACGCACAAAGACAGACGAGTCGACGCAGACAGTGACACGTCAGGTAGGACAAACGGCACCTCGTGTGTGTGTGTGTCTATAATGCTGCATCTGGTGTGCGTATGCGCGCGTCTTTTACTGGCACAAGAAATAATAACACAGGGGAAGTGCGAATGATAAAATGTAATCGATGACATTATTTGCGAGTGAATCAGTGGCACCGTGGTTATCACACTGCGCTATCATGAACCCGGCGACCTGAGTTCGATTACCGGACACGGACAACTTGGCATCAGCGTCGGCTGATTCCTAAGCCGGTGCCGAATCGCCCGCTCACTCCACTAACTCGCATTCACCAGAGCGGTGAAGTATGGTATAAAAAAAAACAAGTCACACTGAGATCGACCTGGCGTGGGAAGGCTTTCATCCAGCAGTGGAATGCCAAAAGGGCTGAAAGGTTCAAGCGAAATCCATAGCATATTGAACCAGTGTGTGTGTGTGTGGGGGGGGGGGTGGTGAACTTCCCCAGCAATGCGTCCGCAGTCTGGTTTGAAAGCTTCTCTCGCGCGTGTGAACGAGAGGGGGGTGCACGTGGTGAGTCTGGTCGCTACGTGGCGCGGTTGCCCAGTTTATCGACTCGGACACGCTCTCAGATCGGTCAACACCGCCACCCCCGCAACAAACATCGCATCACCCGCTCACCCGATTCATCGGACGGTTGAGCGATATGGTGATTGCGGTGTAGTGTCATTCGTTCAATCGGGAGTCTTAAGGCAAATTTCCAGGAGGGTGGGCGCTTGGATTTGGAAGTTTGGCCAATTTCCTTGATAATAAGAGCCCTTTGAATGGGCAGATCGAGTCATAACTGATGATGATGGTGGTGATGTTACCAGCATGGAACAGGTTCGCGCGGTGCGTGCTTACATGATCCGTGATCTATCCACTGCTGGATTGAAGTCGCCCCAAATCCGTCCACATGTATCGGCGATGCAATTCAGCGTGACATTGGTTTATTATCAACGTTTTGTTTTTTTGGCGGGGGGGGGGGTTGCAAATTAACAGCGCGCCGCCCGAGAAATCCGACGGCTGCTAACATCAGTGGCAAGCGAGTGATGTCTTCACCCATGCACTAGGCCTCTCCCTCCCGATATCTTCACCATGCACTAGGTCTCTCCCTCCCGCCGCCACTTATTCGCTAACCCGCACTGACCAGCGCGGTGAAGTATGGTCAAATAAGCCCCGCACGGCACGAGAAGGGCTTCCTCCAGCAGTGGCTTGACACAGAGGGGCGGGGAGGGGGGAGGGGGGCTATTCTGCCTCGGCGTTCTAGCTCTTTGCCTCCAGAGTCGCTACGTTGATGGTCAAATGACAACGATTTAGCTTCATGCGGCGTGGGGTGGGGGGGGCAGCAGTGACTCACGTGACACACTGGCGCAGTCACGCGAGCCGCTGCCGAACCACGCCGCTGCGATGACATTCAACGAACGCTCGCGGGGGAGTGGTGTGGGGTGGGGGGAGTCCATCGGCCGTGATCAATCCACTGCTCGACGAACGCCTCGCGCGAACGAGACGATCATTCATCGGCCTCGTCTCGGAGGACCCACCCCGTCACTCGGCTCGCGATTCTCCGAACCGGAGGCGGTCGCCCCCACTGATGGTAGCCGGCGTGTCGTGTGCCCGTGTCAACTTTTGTCCACCGGTGCGAATGGTGCCATCATCAAAGCCGCGAGTCTGTTTCTCTGATCGCTGAGCGGTGGCGCAGCGGTTAGCGTGCGACTGCTGCGGTTGTCGCTATGGAACCGGCGAACGCATGAGTTCGATATCCCGGCCACGGTCAACCATCAGCGGCTAGCGATGGGTATGTGCACAGGGCACGGGAGCTGACTTGCTTTGCCGAGCCGCGCTCAACGAGGGGGTGGGTGGCCGCCTTTGTCTCCCCAGTGTTGCCCACGTACACAGCGCGCATGCAAGTGAACAACGGAAGCTGTGTTTGTGTGTCTCGGTGCGCAGAGTGGTGAAGTATGTTCACATTAAAAACCACGACCGACGCGGCGTGGCGGGAGGGCTCCATCTAGCAGTGGATTAACAATGGGACTGCAAAGTCTGATAACCGCATTCTCCGGATTGTAAAACGCAATTGGCACTCACGTGTTGTATTTTATTTGGCGGTGAGGCTTATTATCCAGTCAGTGTATGACCATAATGGTATAACGTAATTGACACGAGGATATTGGGGTTGCGTCTTACTTTCAGGAGCGTATATTCATCCGAAGAATACTGTAATACGGTAATAATTGATATTATACACACTCACCATATACATAGTGTGTGTAGTTATATAACCGCTCAAGAGCTGTGTGTGCGTGCTGTAACACAGGAGCACGGTTCTGTGTATGTGTGTTTTCTGTTGCATTAATGCGTTGCGAGTTGCGAACATACCCACACTTTTCACGAAGCCGCCTGAGACCACGGTCTTTTCACCTTTACCATCATCGGCACCATGGTCAATCCACTGCTGGATCAAGGTCCCCTCCCCATCCATGCCATTGCGCCGCCGCCTCTTACGATCATGCGACGGAACAATATTTCCACCTTCACACGAAGTGACGATTGTCTTTTCATAATTTCAACAATAAGAAGAAAACACAACCTTCACTAACCATTGCCAGACCTGACACACAGACTTCGTAGACACACACACACACACGCATTAGACGCGCGTGTGGTACGCACAGACCTTTGGTCAATCCACTGCTGGATAGAGTTCTCCCCCGCACGCCGTGCCGTGCGTAAATGCTATCATTATCATCGGCACGTCAGCTGAAGCCGACATGCGTTTGAGTGTGTTTACCTGTAGGTCATAATGATCGGTCGTGGTCAATCCACTGCTGATGAGGGCCTCCCCAAGCCTCTGTCACCTCCCACGGTGACTAACGGTGCAATGACATATTTGCGTCCGGCTGTCATCGTAACGGTGTGGTTTGTAGGTTTGTGTACGTATGTCTGATTGTGCGCACGTATGTTGCTAAACGCCGGCTGTAAATGCACGCTTATTGAACTATGGCGGATAATTGATTTTTTATCACCTAATTAAAATCCCCGCTCGGGCAAACAACAGAGACATATCGGCGCGTTTAACTACTTCGGCGTTTAACTTCTTCGACGTTCAGCTACTTCGGCTCGCCAAGATTTACCGCGCGCATTCAAAGTGCCAAGCGCTGCCCGACAGTGTAAAATGCACACGTGTTGGCCGTGTCACTGCGGGGGGGGGGGGGGGGCTGGGGAACGCCGGGGAGACAAGGCGGTCGGGCGTGGGGGTGCCGGTCCAAAACAACAAAGACAAAGATCCCCTGTATAGCCTTTGAACAGACTGTTGGGGCAAGTGCTGTTAGTGACACCTATGAAGGCCGGAACGGCACACGAGGGGTGGGTGGCCAGCACTACGCCCGGCCGCCTTTGTCTCCCTAGTGGCGATGTTTACACGTCGCACTCGATACTCATTCGAGGCTGAGTCGACCCAGGCCCATGAAGGGTTCAGATAATCGCCACTGGTGGGTTGGCCGTGAGCGGGAAATCGAAACTCGGGGCGCCGGGTTCGTAGCGCAGGGTATCGCTAACCGCCTGCACTACCGCTCCACACACACCACTCTCTTGCATCGTGAGCCCTGACACGGCCTTCATAGGTGCTGCTCGCTCACGACACCTGTCCCCACTCTCCCAGGGGACATTTGTTGTTGTTAATGAGGCAAAGAAGCAACGGATGAGTGAAACGTATATGCACGACCCCTTTAAAATCCATTCCTTTACCCCCCACCCCCAAATCCCACAAGCCTCCCACCCCCCCCCCCCCCCAAAAGCATGCCTCTTATACCAATTTGCGTACAGCGGCGCATGTAACGCGTCCACAGAAGTTTCGGAATGCGTGCGAGCATTCATAATTAAAAGCCAAAGTGTATGTCACGAGCGAACGGCCCGCGTGCGTGTCGACAGCAGAGAATGTGCGAGATATCACGTGGTACCTGTGTGTGTGTACCTGTGTGCGTGTGTGTGAATGGGTGTATAACCATCATCACAAACTGGGCTGGGGGAAGGGCAGAGAGACAAAGGCGGCTGCGAGTAATTTCTGGCTAAACCACCCAACGCCACCACCCACCCCGTGCTCACTAACAGCACTTGTCCCCAGCAGGACGTGCAGGCTATACCGGCGATCTTTGTCTTGTGTGTATAGAGACGTGCGTAAAGAGTGCGCGTGTGTGTACGCGCGTGTGTGTGTGGCGCGTGTGTGTGTACGTGTGTGCGCGTGTGTGTGTGTGGCGCGTGTGTGTGTACGTGTGTGTGTGTGGCGCGTGTGTGCGCGTGTGTGTGTGGCGCGTGCTGTGAGCTTGTGTAGTCGAGGGGGTGCGCAGTGGCTGTGTCGAGAGAGAGGGAGAGGCGGCGCTTTGACACTGCGAGTGTACGGGGTGTGTTGGTGGGGTCGTGTGGTGGTGTGTGTGGGGGTTTTGGAGGGCTAACGGTGTGGGTGGTGGGGGGTAGGGCGCTGGTGTACGGTGGGTGGGTTGATGGGGGGTGGTGGTGGAGGTGGGGGGGTTGTGCACGCGCGTGTGTGCGGGAGGGAGGAAGGGGAGGGAGAGAGGAGGAGGAGACAGGGGGAGGAGGAGGAGGACGCGGGCTGGAGGGAGCGCCCCGTGCCCGCGGAGCCGGAGTTTGTCGGCGCTCGTAGGCGGGCACCGCGCACGCAATTGGCCGAGCACCCCCAGCCGGCACCGTCTCGTTTCTACATTTTTATGCTAACGAGATGATTTCTGCTCTCGCTATTGGCTAACGGTGGTGGTGGGGGGGGGGTGAAAGCCGTAGGGTAACCCCCACCCACCTACCCACCCACCCCCCTATGAGGTCCGCATCGCTCGCGTCAGGCCGCATATAAACGCAGGCGAGGCTGTCTGCTGCTCGCTCTACACCCGCGGTGGCGTTTCGGTCGCGTGGTTTTTTTCGTTTTCCGCGTTACATTAAAAAAAAAGCAAACGCGCTTTTTACCCAACCCCGCAGCGAGGTTTTATTTTTTTTTGTTGTTGCTGGTGGTGGTTGCAGGAGCTCTCCGTTTCAACACCTTCCCTGGACAATATAACAGAGAGGGAGAATTGCCAGACACCCCAAAGGTTGGCTCGCTTAAACAAGGTGGCTGGCGGTGGCGGTGGTTTGCTTTGATTTTGTGTTACTGCTACTGACTACTACTGACTACCCCGTGGGGGGGGGGGGGGGGGTTGTTCGCGGTGATGCTTCGTCGTAAGTAGCCGCCGCCGGTCTCGTGTCCGCTTGGTTCAGATGAAGAAGCGTGCGTCGGAGTGAGCGAGCGAGCCAGCGAGTGGACTGCACGCGCGTTGGTCGCATTTCAAAGGAGCGATTGACTTTTTCTTGAGAGGGAGAAAGGAAGAAGGTGCACAGAAGTCTGCGACTCGCGTGCCTCGAAGACCCCACGGGCGGAGCTTGCCAGCTGATTTTATTTGTTCGGGCACATCACAACTGCAGCAGGCGTACAACTTAACTCTGCGTACAGAGGCGGGGGTGGGGGGGGGGTTAGTTATTTTAAGTTTTCTTTTTTAATACTATTTATTTATTAATAACTATTACTACCACGCGCACACCAACTATTCCGACTTTTTTTATGAGTGGACTTTTTCAGCACCTCAATGCGCCTCGAAGTACAGATGGCTGCCGACCTGCAGCCCATCCACAGCGATCTGCCCACGAGTCCCCTCGCGATGGAATACGTTAACGACTTCGACCTGCTCAAGTTCGAGGTGAAGAAAGAGCCCCTGGAAGCAGTCAACGGTAGCGTCGTGCGGCCCTGCAGTAGGGTAGCCGGCTCCCTCTCGTCGACCCCTATGAGTACCCCGTGCAGTTCTGTTCCCTCATCGCCCAGCTTCAGCGCGCCCAGTCCCAGCGACCCCAAGACGCACCTGGAGGAGCTCTACTGGATGAGCAGCTACCAGCAGCTGAACCCCGAGGCGCTGCACCTGTCTCCCGAAGACGCCGTCGAGGCGCTCATAGGCAGCAGCGGCGCGCATGCCCCGCACCTACAGCCGGCTTACGACGGTGGGTACCGGCCGACGCAGCAGCAGCAAGCAGCCGGGTCAGCCTGGCCAGCAGCAGCAGCAGCAGCAGCCGCCGCCGCATCTCATGGTCATGGGGGCCACACCACGAAGGACATGACGCCCGCTGGCTGTCAGCAACAGCAGCCGATGCCCGGCGCTCATCACCCGCACGGGCACCCGCAGCACCACGGGCATCCCGCGCACCCGGGCCACGCGCACGTGGCGCAGCAGGGCATGGAGCACGAGGGCGCGCAGCAGCACCACCAACACCAGCAGCACGAGCAGCAGCACCACGAGCAGCACGAGGAGCACGAGCAGCACGAGCAGCAGCACCACCATCACAACAACCACCACCACCATCACCACCACCACCACCACGCGCTGCACGGCTCGTCGCACGTGGACGACCGCTTCTCCGACGACCAGCTGGTGTCCATGTCAGTGCGCGAGCTCAACCGGCAGCTGCGCGGCTTCAGCAAGGACGAGGTGGTGCGCCTCAAGCAGAAGCGGCGCACGCTCAAGAACCGCGGCTACGCGCAGTCGTGCCGCTACAAGCGCGTGCAGCAGAAGCACGTGCTCGAGTCGGAGAAGGTGGACCTCATGCGCCAGGTAGACCACCTCAAGCAGGAGATCGTGCGCGTGGGCCGCGAGCGCGACGCCTACAAGGAGAAGTACGAGAAGCTGGCCGGAGGACGGATGGCGGCCGCCGTGCAGCAAGCGGCAGCGGCGGCTGCGGCTGCGGCCGCAGCGGCCGGGCAGCAGCAGCAGCAGCACGCCACAGCGTTCCGCGCCAAGGCGGTGAGCGAGGACGCGCGATCTCCAGATTTCCTCATGTGATGCGGAGATGTCCTTCGTGTTTCCTCCTCGCCGCGGGTCTGTCGGTTCGTTCGGCCGCTGCCCGGCTTTAGCCCCGCCGGCGTCACCGACTCATCCTCCCCGCGACTCGTGCTGCCGACTGCTGCTACTGCCCTGCAGGCTGCTCACTGCGGCTGTTGGCTGATTTGCCCCGTGGGCCACCGCCACGCTGTCCCCCTGCCAGCCGGGGCCCACTCCGCCGTCACCATCCTCCCCAGCCATAGTCCACCCCGACCCCCCTACCACGACCCCCGAGACACACTGCGACCCCCCCCCCCAACCAACCACCCCGTGACCCCCCCCCCCCTTCTCGCCCGACAACTTCGACCAAGTTCTTCATCATCCACCACGGCCCCCTACCCCTCACCCCCTGAGCCGGTGGGTGCTTTTGCCAGTGGCTGACTTTACCCCCCCCCAACCTCTAACCCAACCTGACCCTTCCCGAGCCCCCCCCCCAAACCCACCCTCATTGCCTCGACAGTGTACTTAACGCATATAACGAAAATACCTGTGTAATTTCTCTCTCATCAACGTGTATAAGTTAAACAATGCCATCCCATTGCATCTTAAATTGCATTTCTGGCTCGTGTAGTTATAATGAATGAAACACATTGTGTGTGTAGCCTTGTACTAACTAACCTGCATGCGGGACATGTACGGCTAGACTATTATGTACAGGAAAACTCGCGTTGTTTGGCAATGGATTTGGGGGGGTTATCGTTGCGGGTTTTTTTTGGGGGGGGGGGCTGGTAGTGGAGGTGGAGTGGTGGTGGTGGGGGGGGCTAACGTATGAGATAGGTGTCTTATTTGGATCGCACCTGACCGCCAGGGACTTTGAACTGTGTGGCTGGAACAAACTCACCGCCGCGTGTTACCTGCAGCCACAGGACGCGATGCCCTTAGGAAGAGGGGGCATACTATCTGGGGAGCTGCTGCTGATGATGATGATGAAGAGGATGATGATGGCAATGCCCTTTCTCGAATGGAGAGAGAGAGAGACGTGCGTGATGGACAAGACTCACGGTCGAACTGGAATGACCTTTCTCTCCCACAGCCGCGCACTTTTTAACCGAACTGAGAAAAAAAAATGTTCCGACTGTGATCGACACAAACTGCAACACCAGAACCATGAACAAAGCAATCGCAACAAAAAATATAAGGAAACGAAAAAAACGTTGTTGAACGGAACTGAACTTAAAAGCCAGAACGGTTAATATTGTTCCATTATTTTCTTTGTCGTTGCTGTTTCTTATTATTATTTGTTTCTTTAATGGAAAACAAACAAAAAAAACTCTAATGCTGGCCTCAATGCAGGCCACTGAACACGGGGACCGTTTCCTTTCTTCAAGATTTACAACACGGAGAACGAGAGGATGGCGATTTGAATACCGCGGGCGTAGAGCGCTAATTTTATATACACGAGTACGCATTATGAAGTGTGGTTTTCATTGGCGTTATGATTAATTTTGTATTTTACTTGCAGTTGGCCCTGATCCCCTTCCGCTTCTTCCCTCCCTCCTCTTTACCGCACCTCCTCACCACCTCTTCTGCATGCTCAGTTTTGTGTCTGCAGTGTGTGAAACACACGCGCGTACTCCGCAAACACACATACCACCAACCACACTTTGCACACAAGTTTCCACGGCTATGTGAATCTTAATATTCGATACTGACACATACATTCTGGCCGCATTACAATCACTCACAATCACTCTGGTCGCCGTTCCCTTTACCCACATACCCCACCTACCTACCTTACCCTCCTACCTATCTACCCACCCAACTACCCTCTTACCTGCCCACCTACCTTTACACCTATCCACCACCTACCTACCTCCCTCCCCTTCTACCTACCCACCGACCTACCTTACCCACCTGCCTCTCTACCCATCCATCTACCCTTCTACCTTACCCACCTACCAACCCTTCTCCCTTACCCACCCCACCTACCTTACCCACCTCCCCTTTTAATTTGCTTTGTGCTTTTCCTAATCTTTTTTAATATGCGGGCATGTTAAGAGAGCTGGGATAGTTCTGAGCTAGGTTTCGTATAAAACGCAATGCACTATAAGTAAATAGCGGAGGATAATACAATTGTTTTCATTTTTTTTAAATGAGGCTTTATACATATATATGATGACTTTAATTGTTTGCAATATACAGTACCTTTTACAGACTGAGCATTGGTCGGAAAAAATGCATGAATGCAGTGGATGTCATAAAATAGTGTTTTCAATTTAAACAAGAACATTAATTATTAGATTATACAGCATTAAGCAAAGTGAAAGCGCGAGAGAGAGAATTCTTGCTGTTGAAAATATTCCACTGTATTGAAGTCTTGTTTATTTTTTAGACCAAAGTAAATAAATTGAGAAAAAAAGATTAGGTAGTGTAATGTGCTATATGGGTGTTTAAAAAAAAGTAGCACTGATGATTATGTAAACGTGAGCACGAGATAAAAAAGAGTAATAATAATTATTCATATTCATTATAATAATTATAATAGAATTGCATTGTAGAGACATGGGTTTGCCCGTCTTGATGTGAAAAAAAAACATTTTAATGTTTGTTCCAACTTTCAACACCATCATCATCACCATCATCATCGTATAAGACATTCGCCACCATCCATTCCTTTCCGCAACGCCTTGGCATATTGCAGCCAGCCAATTTCAGTATGTTAATAATTACTGATGTGACACAAGAAACATAGTGCTTTCAAAGTGTACAAATCTACAGGGACTAATTTCCCTCAATTTCCTGGGAAAGATTCTAATAAACGAAGCGGTTGCTGATGAATTGAGAAATCCGAGTTGTGGCTGTGTTTTCTGTGCGCCCTGTAACAAAAAACTCCACGTTTAAATGTTGCTGCTTAGCCAGGATAGTTTGTGTTGTCTTGTTTGCTTGTTGGGTTGTTGCAAATGGACTGGAATGAACGGGAGTGTGATGTCGTGGTATAATACGCGCACACGCGTGTGTGTCTGGACTGTGTGCGTTCTGTTCAATGCTATAGTTCAGTTCTGGTGTGCGCGCGTGTGTCTGTATGTATCTCAGTTTGCGTGCGTGTGTGCCAATGCACGTAAGATAGTTGAGTTTGTTTAATGGTCATCGGGTGAACGCATGTCCTATAGCTGCACTTCACAACACACACACACGAACCAACGTTGACTTGACACCAAACTGCACACCTGGCTACCTTACGATGCTTCAGATAATAACGGGTTACGGCTATAGTTGTGACATTACGATTTCATGTGTAAGCTCGGCAAGCACACACCGCGCACACGCACGCATACACACCGCACACGAGACGCACACACGTACGTGCACACATACATACGTGCGCGCATATAATTCTTTGGCTTGCGGTCAGTTTTCAATCTTTTGGCTCGTTCCGTGTTTTCTGCACAAATCGCACTCACATATCGCGGCTTCTAAGAAATCGATGTACACAGTCCGCCCACTGCTAGCACGGTTTTCACAGGGCAGGCGAGTAGGACACGGCCCCTGACTTTTAACACTCGCATTACAACCACTTTCCAAATTTCTTGGAAAGAAAAAAACAACTAAAAAAGGATACTTAAGCGGAGCAATGAATGACCCGACTGAATTTTCATACATAAAAAAAAATTGCTCGCGTGTACTTTCGACCAGCCAGCGAACCACATTTGCCCGCATTCGCTGCGCGTATCATCCGGCACGGATTAGTCCCCCGCTGATAGCATTATGGAGCACGCAACCATCAGACAAGACGTCGCGTTGTGTGTGTGTGTGTGTTGAAGTTCATTCGCACCGTACGTAGCCAACCATGCTAATCGGCAGTGCGTTGTAGAGAGAGATGGAGTAGAGCAACTTATTTTCGTGGCTGCTGTTGCAAGCACATGCGTGTAGCAGCCCAGAGCCGCGAGGTTGAGACTGTGGGTGGTGAGTGAATCATGCTTCATGCCGCCGACAGGTTACGGGACATACACGCGTTTGTAATCGACGAACGAGATCGTTCCTACTGCAGCAAAATGAGACAATGCAGTGAGCGGCCAGTGGTGAATTTGTGACTTCCACCACTACCATCACCTTTCCCTCTTCCGTCTCCCGATTTGGTGCTTAAGTCGTCGCGGTACCAAGCCCATTAAAATGGATTTTGTGGACACGCGGTGGTGAAAGTTACGTGCACAAGATCGTGACGCCCAATGTGAGCCAAATGCCAACGCAATTCAGCCGTGGTCTTGCGCGAAAACATGCGCGCCGCTCAAATAGGAAAAAATTGAACTTGGCGATATTGCCACGGTGGCGGGTGTCCCGCGCGTGCGTGTGCGTAAGTCGAAGCGAATGTACCATTTTAATGTCATGAATTTCTTTAGGAAATCGTACAATTGAGTCTCAATACTGAGTTGTTTTTTATTTGTTTTCTTTTTTACAGGAGGGTCATCTCTATTGGGATGTGTGGCGAATTCCGTTGCAGCCCTAATGTGTTGCGTTATGCGAGGTCTGAGTTGTAAGTGTTTTATGTCATCTGCATGCGTATGACGGGGTGGTGAATACGGTATTGAAATAAAAGTATTGTTTTTCAAGCGAATGAGTCCAACACAACACCTCTTTAGCAGCCAGCAGTGGCGGCGAAACTACTTTAAATTACATTTCCAGAGAGACGTTGAGCATTGAGAACACGTCAAATCGTGTGCTAATCAAAATATGTATTGTTTACAAGCGCTGTACAATTTACAGACCGTTAACCAATCCACTGCTGGATGAAGTCCTTTCGCACGCAGTGTCGGCTGTATGCGTGGGGCTTTTATATACCACACTTCACCAGGCTGGCGAGGGCAGATTTGGTGACGGATATTTAAGGGAAGACGCTGGTGGGGGGTGGGGGGGGGGGGGGGGAGTTGCGCTCACGGCAGGGACGTTAACCGTAACCCACCACAGCATTAAAAACTCTGGGGGGGGGGGGGGGGGGGGGTTAGCCAGAGTTCAGCATAGCGCGCGGCGCGTTAGCCCACTGCGCTACGAAGCGCGCACACGCGGTGTGTTCGTTTCCCGGCGTAATGCTGCAGGTGGGCCACGCAGCGCCTAAATACCCTGCCGTGTGCGTGGTAGGTGTCAACTTGATGTACGGCTGTGGAGGTTGCGTGGGGTGGGAGGGGGGGAATGGCGCAGTCGTAACTTAATCTGCTCCATCTAAAAGCGGGCACGAGGCGAGCCAGCGAGCTGCCTGCAACTTAGCCCGCTGTACGCGGATGCGTTCTTAACACGCGAGTGTCCAGCGAGTGGCACACGCGTGTCGCAGCAGCAGCGTCACGCGTGCGTTGCAAGTGCTTGCTCCCTGTGGCGTGTTTTTTTGTGTTTGTATTTAAATTGTGTATTGCTGTCTTTAAAGAATTACAATCGTAATTCAGCGTGAGGCGTGGCGTAGTGGGTAGCCTCTCACTGCGCTGTGAATCCCGCCGGGCCCGGAGTCTTTTGAGTTTCCATTCCCGGGCCACGGGGCTCACATTCGGTGGCGAGTGGTGACCTCGATTGGACCGTTCCCCGGGGGGGGTGTTCCACTCCTCCCGAGTCTTTCATCTACCCCCCAGCCCGGTTAAAGCACAGTCACGCGGACCTTACGTGATAAAACGTGCCGTGCATTTATGATTCACCTTCATTTTCTAAGAAATGCATCGCACGATCGCCAGAGGTTAGCGGTGGCTTGCGGGTGGGAGTGTGGGACGGGGGGAGGTATGAATTTCATCCAGCAATGGATTGACCGTGGCTGATGCAGAATAACCATGAGCAAGATTGCGATCGGATAAATCTTGCAGGACGCTTGATGGGAATGAACCTCCACCCTTGCCCCGTGGAGAGTGTGTGTGTGTGGCCTGAACATTGCGAGTAACTTTGCAACACTTCGCTGTAGCACCCTTCTCTTTATTTTTGTTCATATAAATACATAATCTTCTGTTCTTACTCCGCACACTCCCCACTCGGAGTCGATCAGAGTCCCCCGTCCTCTCATCAGCGCCGGCCAGGGGGTGCATTCACGATGCATCTCGAATGCATCGCCTCCCCCCCCATCTTCAAAGGATTTGGAATCGTACACGCGCATTTCTTCACTGCGTCGCACACACAAATACAAAGATCCCCTGTATAGCCCGAACAGACTGTTGGGGCTAGTGCGTTTAGCGATCACTTATGAAGGCCGGCACTGCACACGAGATGGTGGGTGACCAGCACCACGCCCGGCCGCCTTTGTCTCCCCAGAGTGGCGATATTTACACACCCCACCAGGTACTAATTCAATGGCGAGTCTACCTAGGGGATGCTCAGGACCGGTTTTGAATATTCATCGCTGTCATTAGTCGTAAGCGGGAATCGAGCTCGGGCACTGGGATCGTTGCGCAGCGAGCTAACCGCTACGCTACCGCTCCCCACACTACCGGCACACACATGCACACACACACACGCGCACACACACACACACGTGTGCTTGCACGTGCTGCCCGTCCACGCCATGCAACGCGCAGCGCGCGCACCTATACCCCGCGCACACGCGTTGCAAGTCGTGCGTGGCACGCGTCGTGAGAACGCACCGTGTGAATGCCCGTTATATTTACGTTACACCTGCCTTGGTAAATCAAGAACGAAACAAGCAAAAAGAAACCAGTGGATCTTTTGCGACCGCGCGCTAGTTTCGCGGGGGTTGTTTTTTTGTGTGTCTCTCTCTCTCTCTCCATATTCCACGCGCCCGCTTATCAGCAGCCGCACAATGCGCGCGCCGCGTAAGCGCTGTCTTCTTGCGTTGAGAACAAACAGATACACACCGCAGATAAACAAAGAAACATACAAACAAACGGACGAACAAATACATACATAGACAAACGGTACTATCAGCAGCAAACAACAAAGTAACGTTAACTCGTCGTCGGCGGCGCATTTTATCCGCTCGTGCACTCCAATGAGTGGCCAAGGTTTCCCCGTGTAGCCTTTACAGACTGTTGGGGCAGGTGCTGCTAGTGTTTATACACATCGCACCAGGTACGCATTTGAGGCTGCGTCGACCCAGAGGAGGCCTAGGTGCGGTTCAGTGGGAATCGAACTCGGAACGCCGGGTTCGTTGCGCGGTGGGCTTACCACTCACGATACGACCGCCACCCGCTCCGATGCACACGCGTAGACACACGCACACGTATGCGGGTGCGCACACAGACCCGTGCACGCACACACGTACACTCCCCGTACGTTCACAGGCACACACTTATACACACGCCGGCGAACGTGCACGCGTATTTGTGCAAACACGCTCACCTGCTTGCACACACGCACATACACACGTACATTACGCACACACACACATATACACACGTACGTTATGCGCACACACACATACACACACGTACGTTACGCACAAACGCACATACACACGTACGTTCCGCACACACACATATACGTAAGTACGTTACTCACACATATACACACGTACGTTAGTTACACACATACACACGTACGTTATGCACACACACATACACACACGTACGTTACGCACACACATACACACGTACGTTATGCACACACACATACACCCACATACTTTACGCACACACACACATATACACACGTACGTTACGCACACACGCACTCACTTAGCTGGGCATACGCACACTCACCTGCGCACCCACCCACACATATATTAAGCTGTACACACATACATACGTACATACACACACAAACACACACGTGTGTACACACATTCAGCCGTGCGCGAGTCCCCACGCGCGCACCTACGGCTGTGCGCACACACACGCGCACACTTCGGTGAACGAGAACACACTCTCACCACGTGTGCGGACCGCGCGCACGCTTACCTGTACACAAAAGACAACGTCTCTCCGTATCGCCGTCAACAAACTGTTGGGGCAAGTGTTTTTAGCGAGCAGAACCAATGCAGGCCGACACGGCACCGCAAAAAACAAAGACCTTGTGTGCACGCATGCACACACACTCGCTTTCTTGCTCAGACGCATACACACACACTCACCCGTGCGCGCGCGCGCCCACTCACTCACACGCTAACCTGTCCACGTGCATAGCACACTCACGCGATAGCCTGTCCACGTGCATAATACACTCACACGATCACCTGTTCACGTGAACACCACACTCACACGCTAACCTGCCCACGTGCACACCACACTCACACAGATAACCTGACCACGTGCACACCACACGCTCACCTGACCACGTGCACACACACACACTCACTCGCTAACCTGACCACGTGCACACCACACTCACGCAGCTAACCTGACCACGTGCACACCACACGCTAACCTGTCCATGTGCACACCACACTCACGCAGCTAACCTGACCACGTGCACACCACACTCACACAGCTAACCTGACCACGTGCACACCACACGCTCACCTGACCACGTGCACACCACACGCTCACCTGACCACGTGCACACCACACTCACGCAGCTAACCTGACCACGTGCACACCACACGCTAACCTGACCACGTGCACACCACACGCTCACCTGCCCACGTGCACACCACACTCACACAGATAACCTGACCACGTGCACACCACACGCTCACCTGACCACGTGCACACACACACACTCACTCGCTAACCTGACCACGTGCACACCACACTCACGCAGCTAACCTGACCACGTGCACACCACACGCTAACCTGTCCATGTGCACACCACACTCACGCAGCTAACCTGACCACGTGCACACCACACTCACACAGCTAACCTGACCACGTGCACACCACACGCTCACCTGACCACGTGCACACCACACGCTCACCTGACCACGTGCACACCACACTCACGCAGCTAACCTGACCACGTGCACACCACACGCTAACCTGTCCATGTGCACACCACACTCACGCTCACCTGCGCGCGACTCCACGCGACCCTTGGTCTCGTACTCCGATCTCTTTTTTTCTTTATCAAACACTCTTGCCGCGAATACCTGAGTTGCCTATCTCTGTTGTCGTCACGGGTTGTTGTTTCGTTTCATTAGCAACGATGGAGCCCGACGATAAGAAAAGACAAAGATCCCCCCGTATAGCCTTAACCGATTGTCGGGGCAAGTGTTCTTAGCGAACAGCACCTACCAAGGCCGGCACAGTGGCACACGAGGTGGGCGGCCAGCACCGCGCCGGGCCGCCTTTGTCTACCAAGTGGCGAGATTTACACACCGCAGCAGGTGCTCATTTGATGCTGAGTCGACCTAGGGGAGGCCCAGGACCGTGAGCGGGACTCGATCTCGCCGGCTCGCCAGGTTCGTAGCGCAGCGCGCTGACCGCTACACTGCCGCTCCCCACAATGCTCAGGGGCAATGATGTGCACATGCACACGCAACACACCACACTGGCCACTCGATTATCTATAGATGCCACATCTGACAAATAGAGCCGTTTCGGCAACAACAACAGCCACAACCACCACCAACCAACCACAACAATCGCAATTAGACTGGCAGACAACAGCATCGTGTTTGCGACCTAAAGTCGGGAGAGAAAGCAAATGCGTAAAACCGCACGAGTAAACTGGGTTGTTCGCAAGCGCTTTGCAGCAACTGCGCTCTGGTGTTGTTTACGGATTGGTGTGGCCCTACGTGTTGACGTGCTGCTGCTGCTGCTGCTGTTGTCGCTGTGTGCTCGCTTGCAGCACTTGCCCCAACAATCTTGTTGAAGGCTATTGCGGGGTGCGGCAATCTTTGTCTTTATCTTTATTGTCGTTGTGCACGCGCGTGCGTGTGTGCGATGGGGAGCGGTGGCGCAGTGGTGAGCGCGCTGAGCTAGAAATCACCCAGCAGAGACCCGCTCACGGCCAACACCAATGACGATTATCTGCACCGGTCCTGGGCTTCCCCTAGGTCGACTCAACCTCAAATGAGCACCTGGTGCCGTGTGTAAATATCGCCACTAGGGAGACAAAGGCGGCCGGGCCTGGCTGCTGGACACCCACGCTCCCTCGTGTGCCACCGTGCCGGCCTTCTTAGGTGCTACTCGCGAACAGCACTTGTCCCAAAAGTATGTTAAAGGCTATACGGGGGACGATGGGACCTTTATCCTTGTGATGTATAGCGTACGGCACAACAGGCAGAGTGTAACGTGACATCGTGCATGTGTAATGTTGTGTTGACACATTTTACGGGCAACTTCGGCGTTTAAAGTTGTAATGTCGAAGGGCTTTCAAGCAAAGCTCATCATTTAAATTTATACTTCGTCTTTAGTTTGTTGTCCTTCCCCGCACCGCCGATTATTAGCACGGTTTGATACGTACGGTGCGAAAGAGGTTCAATACATACACACATACATACCTTCCCCAATGCCCGTGTGGGTCATGGAGGAGCGTGGGTGGGGTTATTTGACCATACTTCACCACGCTGGTCAATGCGGGTGTGTGAAGCATTGAATACATATTAGAACAAAATAACTGTCCAAGCTTGAGTTCATTTGCAGCTGTTTCGAAAAGAGTTTCCATGTGGGGGCTGTATGCGTTCAAGCACTGTCATATTTTCCCTACACGATGACTCTGTGTGATTAACTTTATCCCAATTAGTAAATTTCACAGCTTAGAAGAGTAGAATGAATCGTGCGTGCAATGTTAATATTTTGCATGTAGCATTATTAAATGTTGCACCGTTCAGGAAAGCCTGCTGCAAAGCTGTGAATATATGTATTATTCAAACATACACATATATACACATACACACAGAGAACCAGTGAGCTTCAACACACACACATACACACAGACGCGTACAAATACAAAGACACCTCAACAGAAATTAGTCATTTTTATGATTCCATTTATTACACATGACCGGGCTGTACATTTCGATTTTATTTGCAAGTGAAATAAGTTGAAGTAGATGGGGGACAAACGTTCAGCGCTGAGTTATATCCTCATGTTGGACGATGCCATCGAAATCACGCTACCAATAACCATTGCAGGTAAACGCCGATTTGCATCGTGAAAATAAATCACCGTGGCAATCGCAAACAATAATCGTCGCTGAAAATATCGCGTGGTTGGGAAGCTAACAAAATCCTGTTCGAATTTATCGCTAAATTGGAACAAAATAAACCCACCCCCCCCCGATCTCGCCTGCACAAACGCCGGCTATTGGGTGGATATAATTTGTGCAACCGTATAATTTGTGAATTCTATGAACGCGAGCGACGGCAAGACTCACTCACTCTGGAGGGGTACCATCCATCGTGTGCCGACCGTGGCGCGTTCCTCTCTTACACCGAGTCCTAACCGGGGAAAGTGGCGAGTGAAATAATAATCATAATAATGCATTGTGTGCGTGGGATCTGTTGTAACAGCAGCATGGTGTCAGCAAGTAAACAGAGCGACCCGGCAAGAAAATATACCAACTAAGAATACAACAACAAAAAAAAATCCCTGTTTCGGTGACCAAATGAAAATGAGTCATTTGAATGCCAAAATGTATATGAAGGACGCATCAGGCCGACAGCGGGATAATTAAAGCGATCGAACGTGAATCATTCGTCGTGGGGTGATTCATTCATCGTCAGCAGTGTCCGAAACGACGTGAATGAACGGAACCGTGGTGGTGGTGGGGGGGGTAGGGAGAGAATGAGTGTGAGCCAGCGCGCAGCGACGGGTGCACGCACACATCGCAGGTGCACCCTCGAGATGACACACAGGTGCGCACGGAGGGGGCGGGGGGTGGGGAGGAGGAGGGGGTGGAGGAGGGGACTCCCCCGTGACTGCAGCAATGCGGCAGCGTCGTCGTCAGCACCGTCGTCAGCACCGTCACCGCCACCGCCATCGTCACCGTCGTGGCCGCCGAGGCGTCCGTCGAGAAGACGCGGAGCGAGGGGGGGCGATGCCCTCGCGCCGGTGATTGGTGCGTCGTGCCAGTCCGCCCGCTGCTCGCAACCGCCTCCCGTGACAACCGGGATGCGGTTGTGAGCGGACGGCGTGGTGGGAGAACCCCCACCACACCCCCCCCCCCCCCCCCGAGGATTACCCCACCCCCCCCCCCCCCCCCCCCTTCATCTCTTTCCGCGCTCTGCTTCGTCACTCTGCGAGGTTCGCAGAGGGAGCTGAGAAGGACAACAGGACCCTGTCGGTGGACAACAGCATAAAAAGGTCACTCAAACGACGCACACGCGCGTCAGCGCGCCGTGCGCGCCATGGACGCAAGCGATTGGCAGGGCTCGTTGCGAAAAATAACTGTAAAGTGATAATGATGAGAGCCATGGATTTCATTATTTTCGCGATTTGCAGAAGTGGAAAATACAAAGCGACAATTGTTAAACGGGAGCTTCTTCCAAGGAAGCATCCTCTCTCTTCTCTCTTCCTCCTGGCGATTGCCAAAAGTAAAAAAAATATATATATCCCAACCGCCGCTCATTAATCTTAGGTAGTCAACAAAAGCGTCTCTTACGTACGAGGCGCGCGGGCCACGATTTAAACCTTAACCGTTTGTCTGCAGCGAGTGATTTAAAAGTGAAGGTTGGGGCTGTAACGGAACACGTACACCGTGTCCTCTCTCCCCACAAAAAGTTGATTGGTGGGGGTCTCACGCCGTGCATCTGATATTGGGGGGGGGGGGGGGCATTTAGTTGATGTTGGGGGTGCGTGACCTCTGCCAATTCCAACTTTGTCATTCACACAACCCAGGCTAAGGTGACCTCCCCCCACCCCGTCCCTTACACCCCCACCACCCCCTACAGAGACATCGCCCACTCCGCCAAATTGTGAAACGTTGGACAGACATGGGGTTAATGAACGTCGGCATGAAGACACACGGAGCGTACACAATAAATTAGCACAAACAAGATGTAAAACGCAGATGAACTTTGGAATTTATAGTTTAGCTGTCAATAACGTGTCTACGTGGAAGACAATACTGCATTTCCTCTCCCCTGATCCAAAGATGCAAAGTCATAGTCTAACCCGGAGCATTAATTCATCGGCAGCACCAGCAGCCATGATCTATCCACTGCTAGATGAATGCATCCCACTAGCCATCCCTTCGCGGTCTTATCGCTCCATCTCCTCGCTGGATGTGCCCTCTGACTTGTGCCCTCTTTGCACTGCCATTCCCTAACTCGTCTCGACCACCTTGTCATGGACATGGCAAGGTTACATTTTAGTCGTTCAATTGTATTGAGGGACTGTGTGTTGTTGTCTTGGTGTGGTCTGGGACTGTTGTTGTTGTTGTTTTCCTGCCTTGCCCAAGTACTTATATTTCTACTTTTATTTACTTATAGCGACTTGCTTACCTTCTCTCTACGTTAATGTTGTATTGTTTGTTGTTGTAACTTGCCGACCTGCCCCGACTGGACATCTGTGAAAAAAAATACTCATTCTGATATGCCCCGCTCAAGCCGACTTAATTAACAGCTCATGTGATGCCTCTGGCATTATGTTCCAGAAAACGAAATGCCATACAGTCCGTTGTACAATTTACTTCCGCTAAATGTTGGCAGTGTATCGCTGATGGGCTGAGGGCGGTAACTGATTCTGTTGTCAAGGCCATGACAAAGGGACTTGCGCCATCACATCTGGTTTCTAAAAACGCGCACACACACACACGGACGCTCACGAATACACACGCACACACAATTATTCATACGCCCGTACATGCGAATAGATATACAGTACATGCATGCATGAGATCATACAGATATACATACATGCACACACAAGTACATACATACTCACACACGAAACACACGGCTGTACAGTGACACAATAAAGACAAAGAGCCCCCGTATAGCCTAAACAGACTGTAGGGGCAAGTGCTGTTAGCGAGCACCTATGAAGGCCGGCACGGCACACGAGGGGGTGGGTGGCCAGCACCACGCCCGGCCGCCTTTGTCTCCCCAGTAGCGATGTTTTACACACCGCACCGGGTACTCGTTTGAGGCTTAGTCGACACACACACAATCTCATCCTCACAAACCCACAATCTCATACTCACACACACTCAAACACATCCATACAAACACACATCAAATTATTTTTAAACTAATTTATTTAGAACTGCTTTTTGTGTTTCGTTTGTTGTCCCTTACCCCACACTTTTGATTGGCTACGTACGGTGTGAAAGAAGTTCAACGTACAGTACATACACATACCCACGTGCACGTAAACACACAGACACACGCGCGTCTAAACAGAGGCTCATAGTCAGAGAACTGTTCCATTATAAAGCTGAGCTCACAGCAACCACAGGATAATGATAGTGATTCCAAGTGCCCCGTCTACCGAGACTCCTAATCCAAATCCTTCACTGACCTCTCCGGGTGAAGCCGTGGCTTCATTTCAGACACCTCGCGAGCGCTTATCTCAGCCAACGGCATTGCTCGCTTGACAAGAACACAACGACAATACTGTCGTTTAGCAAATACGTCGTCACTAAAATTATTAATGCCGCTACCTTACGTCGCTTTCTCGTTATGCGTCGCCTCTCGGCCTTCGCCTCCACCACCACCACCACCACCTACCACTACGAACCCCTCCTGTAAAATGTAACATCGCCTGCGATTTAAGTCGGTTCGATATTCGCCGTCGGTACCTTTCAGGAACGCATCCCCGACATAAACCGGGGGTTATTAGCTGTACTCCACCCTATTTGTGGTAAAAACATTTTTTAAAGTGGACCAATATCTCGGATAAGTTGTATCCGCTATTTGATTCGTCTTAATCCGCGGGATGAAAAAAAATAACGCAGATGACAAGAATAATTAGGAGTGGCGGATAATAGGGTTTTTAGGACCCTACAGCTGTCACGGATAATAGGAGTTTTTGAGGACCCTACAGCTGTCACAGATAATAGGAGTTTTTTGGACCCTACAGCTGTCACGGATAAGAGGAATTTTAGGACCCTACAGCTATCACGGATAAGAGATTTTGAGGACCCTACAGCTGTCACGAATAAGAGGAGTTTTTGAGGACCCTACAGCTGTCACGGATAAGAGGAGTTTTTGAAGACCCTACAGCTGTCATGGAAAATATACGTTTTTGAGGACCCTGTCACGGATAATAAGAGTTTTTAGGACCCTACAGCTGTCGCGGATAATAGGATTGGCGGTTAATGGAGCCACGGATAAGAGGAGTCACCCAGCAGTTCCAGTAGCTCACTGTTATTGTGTAGAGGTAGGTGAGCCCTCCTGCCTGTTATCGTCCTCTATTCAACATTGGAATTCTAATTTAATTACAAGGCTCCCCCCCCCCCCCGCGTTGCAAAAAAAAAAACCCTTGCTGGTATTTGATGCTGAAGTGTGCCTTAGTTCTGTCAGAGCTCCCGAGGTCAACCTTCTCTCTGTGGGAGGTCACTCCTTCTCCTCTGCTACCCCCATTGTCTGCAACTGCCTGCCTCTCTCTCACATTAGCAATCTGTCCTGTCAACTCCTTGGCCTTTTTAAAGTCCAGTCTCAAGACCTATTCTCCTCCATCAGTTCCTGCGGCCGTCTGGAACGCTCTTCCTTGCGATATTAGGAAGCCACGGGGAGCGATCTAGATTGAATTTTTATTTTTATTTTAGAACTCTCCTTTTTGTGTTTTAGTTTGTTGTCCTTCCCCCGCACCTCCGATTAGCGCGGTTGGCTACGTACGGTGCAGAAGAAGTCCAACATACATCCACACAGAAGAGCACTGCAGCAGCATCCTAGAGAAGCTGCTGGTGGATTCGCTAACGCTGCTGGCGGGGGTGCTGGTGGCACAGTGCATTTTCTCTTGTGCATTGTGATCGGCCGTTGATCTTGGAATGGCTGGCCGCGTCTGTCTGCCAATGCATAAATAACCGGATCGCCGCTAATAATTTAAGTGTACACATTTTTTTTCTATGAATTCTCTTGGACCCCCCCCCCCCCCCGTTGAGCGTAATTTCACCGGTACTGGTTGCGACACGCACATCCCTCGTGGGCTTCATCGTCGTCATCATCAGCGGCGGCGGCGGCAGCAGCAGCCGTGGTCAATCCACTGCTGAATGAAGGCCTCCAGTCAAGCAGCCACGACCACGCAATGTAACAATCCACGTATCAGCAGCAGCAGTAGCACCTTGCACACCAACTTGATTCCATCGCTCCATCTCCCCTGGCGATCCGGCAGGTACAATCTCCCTTCCAGCCAAGACGCGTTCCATTCCTTGGCTGTCACTCCGTAATCATTCTCGACCCTCGGCCCAATCTTCTACATACTAGCCATGGCGTGTCCTGGCCCAAGCACGCTGATATTTTCTGAACAGCACGAATAACGTTAATTTAACCTGTGTGTGTTCACTGATCCGCGTGTTCCTATGTCTGGGACTGTTATGTGCGTCGTTTATGCCGCCTTGCCCAAGCTTGATAAAGCGGACTAAATTAATTTACGTTTTATTTCTAATTCGTGACTTGCTCGTGTGTTTTATTTCGTCTTCTCTATTTAGCACTCCTATCATGTTTTGTTTGTTTCGTTTGCTGTTTCTAACTTGCTGACCCTGTGCCTCGACTGGACATCTGTGGAAAAAAAGAGCTTCACAGCTTATCCTATTCCTCCTCCAGTCAAAATATTCTGATATCTGATCTCTCTCTCTCGACGGAATCCCTTACGTGAATATATACAGTGAGGGAAAAAAGTATTTGATCCCCTGCTGATTTTGTACGTTTGCCCACTGACAAAGAAATGATCAGTCTATAATTTTAATGGTAGGTTTATTTGAACAGTGAGAGACAGAATAACAACAAAAAATCCAGAAAAAAGCATGTCAAAAATGTTATAAATTGATTTGCATTTTAATGAGGGAAATAAGTATTTGACTCCTCTGCAAAACATGACTTAGTACTTGGTGGCAAAACCCTTGTTGGCAATCAGAGGTCAGACGTTTCTTGTAGTTGGCCACCAGATTTGCACACATCTCAGGAGGGATTTTGTCCCACTCCTCTTTGCAGATCTTCTCCAAGTCATTAAGGTTTCGAGGCTGACGTTTGGCAACTTGAACCTTCAGCTCCCTCCACAAATTTTCTATGGGATCAAGGTCTGGAGACTGGCTAGGCCACTCCAGGACCTTAATGTGCTTCTTCTTGAGCCACTCCTTTGTTGCCTTGGCCGTGTGTTTTGGGTCATTGTCATGCTGGAATACCCATCCACGACACATTTTCAATGCCCTGGCTGAGGGAAGGAGGTTCTCACCCAAGATTTGACGGTACATGGCTCCGTCCATCGTCCCTTTGATGCGGTGAAGTTGTCCTGTCCCCTTAGCAGAAAAACACCCCCAAAGCATAATGTTTCCACCTCCATGTTTAACGGTGGGGATGGTATTCTTGGGGTCATAGGCAGCATTCCTCCTCCTCCAAACACGGCGAGTTGAGTTGATGCCAAAGAGCTCCATTTTGGTCTCATTTGACCGCAACACTTTCACCCAGTTGTCCTCTGAATCATTCAGATGTGCATTGGCAAACTTCAGACGGGCATGTATATGTGCTTTCTTGAGCAGGGGGACCTTGCGGGCGCTGCAGGATTTCAGTCCTTCACGGCGTAGTGTGTTACCAATTGTTTTTTTGGTGACTATGGTCCAAGCTGCCTTGAGATCATTGACAAGATCCTCCCGTGTAGTTCTGGGCTGATTCCTCACCATTCTCATGATCATTGCAACTCGACGAGGTGAGATGTTGCATGGAGCCCCAAGCCGAGGGAGATTGACAGTTATTTTGTGTTTCTTCCATTTGCGAATAATCGCACCAACTGTTGTCACCTTCTCGCCAAGCTGCTTGGCAATGGTCTTGTAGCCCACTCCAGCCTTGTGTAGGTCTACAATATTGTCCCTGACATCCTTGGAGAACTCTTTGGTCTTGGCCATGGTGGAGAGTTTGGAATCTGATTGATTGATTGCTTCTGTGGACAGGTGTCTATTATACAGGTAACAAGCTGAGATTAGGAGCACTCCCTTTAAGAGTGTGCTCCTATTCTCAGCTCGTTACCTGTATAAAAGACACCTGGGAGCCATAAATCTTTCTGATTGAGAGGGGGTCAAATACTTATTTCCCTCATTAAAATGCAAATCAATTTATTACATTTTTGACTTGCGTTTTTCTGGATTTGTTTGTTGTTATTCTCTCTCACTGTTCAAATAAACCTACCATTAAAATTATAGACTGATCATTTCTTTGTCAGTGGGCAAACGTACAAAATCAGCAGGGGATCAAATACTTTTTTCCCTCAATGAATCACCACGCTGCTTCACTTACCTTGGATGCCTTCGTCCCACTCCGTCTGCGAGGTGTGCACGTGTCCGATCCACCCGTCAAAACTCTCGTCTGCAGACGCACTCCGCCGGCAACCGCGTTCCTCCCGTCGTTTGCCGCGACTGGTGACGTGACCTGTGGATGTTCGCACCGCACCCCCTTGTTCGTGACACGGAGTACAGCCGGCGGTTGACGCACTTTAATGATCGCAAAATACCCCGGCGACCTCAGTTCCAACTCTGGGCAAGGGGCTAACATCAAGTGGCGAGTGATACCTGAACCGATGGGTCGGTCTCTCGCTTCCTTCTTTTCTCTCTCTAAAACTCACGTTGAAACCCAAATCGCTACCCGACCAGCTGTGCGAGATGGACATTGCAGTGCGAATTAATGTATGGAATAACCCGAGGGCAAGGATATAATTTATTTATTTCTCTCGCTCCCTCTCGGATCTTGCTCTCTCCTCCTCTCTCGTTCTTTCTCTCCTCTCATCATCTCCCCCCCACCCCCAATCTCTCTTCTCATGCGGGTTGTTTGGTGCTCATTAAATTAGCGTGACGAGCGAGGTGGGCGCATCTTTTCCCTCCCCTCGTGTCCCACGAGAGCTCAATGTTTTAGCTGCCCCTGGCTGACGCCCGCACGCCCGCTCGCTCCCCCACACGCACACGTGTGCGTGTTTGGCGATGTTGTTGCGCACTGTAATTTTGCCCTGGCCAGCGATATTCACAAAGTTCACACCCACCCACTCCTGTTAGCGTGCATAGCTATCAACCCATTATCAGTTGCCCCTACCTTATAGCAGACCAATTGAGACCTTTGTTGGTCGCCACCACGTGCCCTTATACATCCCAAACGTTCGTCCTACAAAGTCCCATCACAAGGAGAGAAACACAAACAAATAAGACACTTTTTTCGTTTGCTCCTATTGTGACGTCTGTACGCCGTATGGACCTGAAAATTTTAATTTCCCTGCACAAGAATACGGGAACACACCGTATGCAGTGCCAGATTATCCTAGGAGAAAAAGTAGCTACATATGTAGTAGCTACGGGCCCCGCGCTAAATGCTTTCAAGCTATCAATTCCACTTCAGTGATTCTGCACTTGCTCTATTACTATAGTAATATACCGCCTTCAACTTTTACGAATGACTGGGTGTTTAAGGTTAGCAAATTTGTCGTATTATCTGGCTGTATAGAAAATGAAAATATACTTTACTATGCAAGTAAAAAATTGCATTTCAAATATTTACGTTTTGATTTAAAGCTTTCGTGACTGCAGGGATTCATATTCTTTGTTCTTTCGGTAAAGTCACGTAGAAGGGAAACAATAAAATAAATAAATATAAAACAATACAATTCTCACGACGTTTCGACTGCAACACAAGCAATCATCATCAGGTGTGAAAACCACGGCAAGAAAATTTGAAAAAATAAAAAAATCCGCCACTTTTTTCAAATTTTCTTGCCGTGGTTTTCACACCTGATGATGATTGCTTGTGTTGCAGTCGAAACGTCGTGATAATTTTATTGTTTTATATTTGTATTATTTTATTGTTTCCTTTCTATGTGACTTTACCGAAAGAACCAAGAACACAAATATTTACGTGTTTTTTTATTTAGGGCCCCTTTATAACTAATGCTACAGGCCCCGCACTAGCTTAGTTCGGCACTGACGGTACATAATAACATAAAATAATACAATTACTTTATTATGTTTTATTTTTATGATTTCCCTTCTACGTGCCCTTTACCGAAAGAACCAAGAATAAGAGACAATTGGTTTTCAAATTCGGCAAACAACTTAATTCAACTCGACATTGTAAGAGCCGCAATGTAACAGCGAGCAACGTGACATTGCGGGGCTGTGGCCGAGCAAACCCTCGCCCGTTCCTAACGCCCTTCGTGTCTCTCTCTCGTTCTCTGTCTCTCTCTCGTTCTCTCTCTGTCTCTCTCTCTCGTTCTCTCTCTCTGTCTTTCTGTCTGTCTCTCGTTCTCTCTCTCTGTCGCTCTCTCTCTCTCTGTCTCTCTCTGTCTCGTCCTCTCTCGTTCTCTCTCTCTGTCTCTCTCTCTGTCGCTCTCTCTCTCTGTCTCTCTCCCTCTGTCGCTCTCTCGTTCTCTCGCTCTGGCGAGTCGACGTTGCAGCTCAACGCGTGGGAGTGTTAAGGCCGAGTCGATCTAGAAGCGTTGACAGACCCAGGACCGGGGTACAAAACACCGCGCCGCGTTCACCCTCGCCGTCGTCGCTGCTGCTAGGGAAGGAATCGGAAGTCTCGGGTTGAGTTTAGCGCAACGAAACCAAGGCGGGCCCCCCCACCCTGTGAAGGGCCCCCCACCCCCTTGAACAGGCTGCTTGGGGCAAGTGCTGTGAGCGAGCAGCACCTGTGAAGGCCGGCACTGCGGCACACGAGAGGCGGCCTAGGGCGAGGCCCACCGCCGGTTCGGGCGCTCGTCGCTGTTGGTGAGCCGTGGGCGGCGACGGAACTCTGGGGCAGCGCTGCCGCAACAACAAAAACAACGCTAAGTGGCGGTGACGTTACCACGGCGCTCGTGCCAGGCTAGGTGCACGTTGAGGCCACGTGAAGTGTAGGAAGACCGGGGCCGGCGGCAGGTCAGGAGGCAGAGCCCAGCAGGTGCCACGGGTCGACTGACCGAGATGACTGCCCCGATGCACCACCTGTGGCCCCTACTGTGCCATCGCCCCCCCCACACACACACACACACGTGTACAAATACAAAGATCCCACCTCCTCGTATAGCCTCTGGACTGTTGGGGCAAGTGCGTGGTGCTATGCCAACCCACCTCCTCGTGTGTCGTACCGGCCTTCGTAGGCGCTACGTGCCAGCACGTGGACACAAAGACAAAGACCCCACGTTTGTAGGCCGCCAAGGCACACGAGGGGGGTGGGTGGCCAACACCACGCCGGGCCGCCTTTGTCTCCCCAGTGCCGATGTTTACACACCAGGTACTCATTTGAAGCTGTGTGTATACACACGCGCACGTATGAGTGGCACGCACAAAAAAACGGACATCACGACCACCAACAACACCTCGGTCAAATGGCTTCAGCTATCGCGTTGCGCTTTTCTTTCGACAGCACGCCAGACGAAGGCGACAGTCGTGGTGCAAAGGGACTGCCTGGATGGATGATGGATTGTTCCAGCCTTGAGGCTAGGTAAGGCCTTCATCCAGCTGTGGACAGATCATGGCTCACGACGATCTCGACGATTATTGGTCTGGAGAGCCCCGTATGGATAAGCTGCCGAAACAAACCTACATTTTGTTGCCAGATAAAAGGGTAAAAAAACATTTATCATACATTATAAAAAAATATATATTCTTGGTTCTTTCGGTAAAGTCACGTTGAAGGGAAACAATAAAATAATAATATATATATAAAACAATAAAATTCTCACGACGTTTCGACTGTAACACAAACAGTCATCATCGGGTGTGAAAACCACACCTGATGATGAAACATCGTGAGAATTTGATTGTTTTATATATATATTATTATTTGATTGTTTCCCTTCAACGTGACTTTACCGAAAGAACCAAGAATATGAATCACTGCAGTCACGAAAGCTTTAAATAAAAAAAAATATGTTTTAATGTAATCAAATGAATGGAGGTATGTGTAATTATTTCACTGTCCATAATATCCCACAGCTGCAGAGTGAGATGTGTTTTGTATTAATTATTGCTGCTGCTGTTGCTCCAAAGCAGTAGCGTGGCGTGGTTGGCATGGGCCCTGGTGCATGGAATGGAATTGCCCCTAGCCCCCCCCCCTCCCGTTACCCCCACCCCCCTCTCTTCGTGGCCTGGCCCAGAGCCCCCGAATCCCCGTAAATCCTTGTGCAGCTGCACCGCCGGCACGCTCAAAAGCTACGCTACTGACAGTAGACCCATGGACTTGTAGAGACCCATAGACTCACAGAGACCCCCCCCCCCCATAGGCTCATACAAAAGACTCATAAGCCTCGTACAGAGAGACCCATACACTCAAAGAGACCCACAGACTCAAAGAAACCCAAATACTCATAGAGACCCATAGACTCATACAGATACCCATACACTCACAGAAACCCCCATAGGATCATACAAAAGACCCATAAGCCTCGTACAGAGACCCATAAGCTCAAAGAGACCCATAGACTCATACAGAGACCCACAGACTTACATAGTCCCATATACTCACAGAGACCCTTAGGCTCATACAGAGACCCATAGACTCACATAGTCCCATATATTCACAGAGACCCCATCGGCTCATACAAAATACCCATAAGCCTCGTACAGAGACCCATAGACTCATACAGAGACTTAATAGACTCACGTAAATACCAGTTGCCTAACCTGGATAATTATTGTGCAAGAAATTAATAAAGTGGCCCCCTTTTCCAACCCCCCCCACTTCGTTATCCCCCACCCTCACCTTTGCCCCCCCCCCCCACCAGCGGTGCAGTTCCACCGCCTGCACATTCGATCGCTACCTACGTTGCAATTAAGGGGGTTAAGAGGATTGGGCAAGGATTTTGTAATTTAATTCACGTGCGTTTGTGTTCTCCAGTGTTTATCCACAATTACAGATAAGTCCGCATTAGTTCGAGGCTGAGGTGACCTTGGTGAAACCAAGCGCTGAGAGCCGATGAGACCTCTCGTTGTCTTTACCAGGAATCCATCGTGGGATTAACCAGCCAAGCGCTGCGTACATCGCTGCCCAAATGTCCACACCGCGCCAGAGCAAAGATCCCCGTTGGGGTTAAGTGAGCGTTAGTGAGCACACGTGTTAAGAACAGCATGGCACAAGACAAGGGACAGGGTGGGTTGCAGCAGTTGGGACAAAGATCCCCCGGATCGCCTTAACATACTTTATGGACAAGTGCTGTTAGAGAGCACCTATGAAGGCCGGAACAGCACACGAGGGGGGCGGGTGGCCAGCACCGTGCCCTGCCGCCTTTGTCTCCCCATGTTTACACATCGCACCGGGTACTCATTGGAGGCTGAGTCGGCCTAGGGGAGGCCCAGGACCGGTTCAGATAATCGTCGCCGGTGTTGGCCCGTGAGCGGGAATCGAACTCGGGTCGCCGGGTTCGTAGCGCAGCGCTAACCGCCGCACCATACCGCAGCTTGGACAACCCCTTGCAACACACCCAACCGCCTTTGTCTTCCTTAGTGGCGATGTTTACACACTTCACCATTCATCACTCGTCAAAGGCTAGAGTGCATCTCACGGGAGGCCCAGAACATGTTCGGATATTACTTGCTACTGATGTGAGCCGCGTGGCGAGGAATAACCCCCAACGTCGCAGGGATTGTGGTGGAGTGCGTGAACCATTGTGCCAGCGCTCATCATGCACGCGAATGCACGTGCGTGCATGCACGTATTCTGTGCGTACGTTACGGCCAAGAACGTGTACGCATGTGTAATGACAGGGTGACACCTGTCGGCCTTAAAGGGGTAATTGCGGCTATGGGGGTATTGCGTAATGCCTTATTATAAGGGGGGCGTATCTGGGGTAAGGGTGAAAGGCGGAGTCAGTACAGAGGCTCCGGGAACCTGCTCGAAGGTTCTGGAAGGGGGCGTGGCCGGAGGCGGGGCTTGGCCACGCTGGGGCGTATATAAGGGGGACCGAACCAGAGGTTCGGGTGCTGTTGCGGGTCCTGGGTCCTGGCTGCGTCACTGCTCGCCGTCATCTCTTCGTCTCCGACCACGTGGCCGATCTTCTGCAAGACCCTCTCCGTCGCCGTCGCTGCGCTAGTCGGACAGCGAGCGTAGCCTATGCCGGAGATGGGCTATGTGTTAGGATCGCCTATGTGTAGCTGCGTTACGGAACGTATCGCCCCATGAGTTCTTAATAAATGAGAAGCCTTCTACTCGACGTGTCTCTAAAGTCGCTCACTACATATGTAAGAAACAATCAAAACGAAACTTCATACTGTGAGTCGCATGACCGAGCGTTTTGCCAGTGTTGCGGGAAGCGCGCTACTTGTGCAGCCCTTCAGCCTTCTCGTTTGGCAATCGTGCCACATTTCCGTTCCACGATATTAATTTTTAGCCGAGACGCAACCGCGAGTTCGAAACGTCCTATTGACTGTAGAGAAAGGGAAGCGGCGGGTGTGAGTTTAAAAAAAAGGGAGAAACACGCGGATTAGAGAACACGCGCAGGGTCATGCCATCATTCGAGCCGTCGCTCTGTGGGAGAGACGATGGGCGATGGTCAAGACTAACTTCACGGTGGAGTGGCAGCCGAAGGAGCAAATGCTTCCGACGGTACGCGAACCGCGGAGATGGAGCGATGAACGCTGCCCGAGCTCGGGCTCCGGGTGGATTTTTGCTCAGTGGGGCCCTGCGAGAGATTGGCACGGTTGGCTACATACGGCACGACAGGAGTTCAAAATACATACGTACAATATACATGCAACAGGAGAGGCGATGGATAATCCACTGCTCGAATACTGAATCACCATCCAGCAGTGGATAGTTCATGGCTCGCGACGATAAAGATGTGGTTTCACCCCCCCCCACCACCTCCACACAATGTAGCATGTGCATAATATAATTCCGTCCGATTACTGAAGCACAGAAATCTTTGGGACTCCCCATACCACAGAGCCATTTTTGTATGAAGTGTAAAGCCACGTGATTTTGACATTTGGGATTCTTACGCCCCCCCCCCCCGAAGCTCACACCCCCCACCCCCAAATAGAGTGGCGCTAAGGTGTGAAAGTAAAGAACTATTGCTGAGAGCAGGGCAGGGAATGTGTGACTGGACCGTACAGCTGGCTTGCCTGACACTCGCATTATTAATGGCTGTTTGCATAGGCTGCTCACATCTTTACACTTGGCTGTGTGGCTGTGGCTGTGTTTGGTTGTGGCCGTGTGTCTGTGTGGAGCGGCAGTGCAGCGGTTACGAACCTGCAGACCAGGCCAACACCAGTGACAATTATCTGAACCGCTTCTGGGCCTCCCCTAGGTCGACTCACCCTCAAATGAGTACCTGGTGCGGTGTCTAAACTATCGGCACTGGAGAGACAAAGGCGGCCGGGCATGGTGCTGGCTACTCACTCCGTCGTGTGCTGTACCGGCCTTCATAGGTCCTCACAAACAGAACTTGGCCTAACAGCCTGTTAAGAGTATACGGGGGGGGGGGGGGGGGATATTTGTTATTGGAGCGGTAGCATAGTAGGTAGCATACTGCTCTACGCCGAGTTCGATTGCCGGATTATACTCGTAGCAAAAGTAGCTGCATATCCTATGGGCCCTGTACTTTAAAGGGCCTCGCGCTAACTGCTTTCAAGCTATCAATTCCGGTTCAGTGATTCTGCACTTGCTCTATTACCATAGTAATATACCGCCTTCGACTTTTATGAACGACTGGGTGTTGAAGGTTAGCGATTTGTCGTATTATCTGGCTGTATAGCAAATGAAAAAAATACAATTACTTTACTATGCAAGTTCAAAAAAAAATGTTTTTCTATTTACGTGTTTTTTTTAGGGACCCTTCATAACATATGCTACAGGCCCCGCACTAGCTTAATCCGGCACTGGCTAACATCAGTGGCGAATATCTGACCTCTGCATAGGTCGACTCAGCCTTAATTGAGTACGGGGTGCAGCAGCGTGTAAACATGAGCACAGGCGAAGACAAAGACGGCTGGGCGTGGTTCTGGCCACGCCACCGGCTT